AGACACAACACTTTGAGGTTTAAAGAAGAAACCCTAAACCCTCACAAACCCTAAACCCTCACAAACCCTAAACCCTCACAAACCCTAAACCCTCGCAAACCCTAAACCCTCACAAACCCCAGAAGCCCCTCCCCCACAAACCCCAAACCCCCTCTCGTCCAAACCCTAGTGGTTCCCAAACCCTAGTGCCCTCTTACTAAACCCTAAACCCTTGTAAACCCTAGTGTTGTCAAACCCCAAACTCTTCTGAACCCCAAACCCCTACTAAACCCTTCTCAACCCTTCTAAACCCTAAACCCTAAACCCTAAACCCTAAACCCTTGCAAGCTCAAACCCTAGGAGCCGGAACGTGCTCACTCTCTTTTTAAATCTTTCCGCAGTGCACTTCAACTCATTTTCCATGTCCTGGTATTTCAAACCCCAAACCCTAAACCCTAAACCCTAAACCCTAAACCCTCGGCGAGGAGTCCCCAGCCGGGGTTTGCGGGTTTTGTCAGCGGGGTTAACCCTAAACCCTAATTTCTCACCCGCAGTGGACTCCGTGGCTGGCTAGCTAGCCAGCTACTTCTAACCCCAAACCCTAAACCCTAAACCCTAAACCCTAAACCCTAAACCCTAAACCCTCGGCCAGCTAGCTAGCTGGCCGCTGCCGCGGTAGACAACGAGACGCAAAGATTATCAGCGGCCCATACAGAGCGACAACTGGCTTGCTCAGCTAGCTAGCTAGCTAGCCAGCCAGCTAGCTAGCTAGCCAGCCAGCTAGCTAGCTAGCCAGCTATCTAGCTAGCTAGCTAGCCAGCTAGCTAGCTAGCTGGCAAGCTAACTACAAAAGTTGCTAGCCAGCTGGCTAGCTGGCCCGCTAGCTAGCTAGCTAAAAACATGCTAGCTCGCTGGCTAGCTTTTTGGCTGGCAAGCCAGCTAGCCACAATGACGTTGGCCAGCTAGCTAGCTAGCTAGCTGGCCGGCTAGCCACAAAGTTGCTAGCCAGCTAGCTGGCAAGCTGACCGGCTAGCCAGCTCTGAAGCTGCCAGCTAGCTAGCTAGCCAGCTAGCTAGCAAGCCAGCTAGCTAGCCAGCTAGCTAGCTAGCTAGCTAGTTAGCCAGCTAGCCAGCTAGCTAGCTAGCTAGCTAGCTAGCTAGCTAGCCGCATGGCGGGAGCGCCAGTGAAGGAGCTGCTTGAATTTGCTTTTTCGTTTCGTCCCCAAAGCGGGGGCAGCGGCTTGGGGCGGGCCCCAAACCCCAAACCCCAAACCCCAAACCCTAAACCCTAAACCCTAAACCCTAAACCCTCGTCAGCACTGGCTAATGGGGACGGGTTTCTTCGGAGGCGGCGGCCGGCTCCAGTCTCTTCCCTGCTGCGGCCTTTTTTGCTTCGAGCAATCTCCCCGCAGCGGGAAGCCCATGCGCGAAAACACTGCACGCAAACCCTAAACCCTAAACCCTAAACCCTAAACCCTAAACCCTAAACCCTAGACCCCAGCGCGGGTCTGGGCGCTGCGCGGCGGCGGCGGCGCGCGCGGCAGCTGCAGCAAGGGTTTCTGGGAGGTGCGGCGCTTCCGGGTTTACGACCAGGGCTACCAGGGCTAGGGTTTAGGGTTTAGGGTTTAGGGTTTAGGGTTTAGGGTTTGGACCTGCTATGACGGAGGCCCAGTCCTGGACGGAGAAGCTCTCTTGCTGCGCCAAAGCCCGCTGGCCAATCTGCTGCATCAAATTAGGGTTTTGGAGAGAGAGGCGGTCGCAGGCTTTTAGGAAAAGGGTTATGTCTCTAGGGTTTAGGGTTTTGAGGGTTTCGCGGCGAGGGTTTAGGGTTTGCGGGAAACCCTCGCTGCAGCGCAGCAGCTCCTGCAGCAGCTTTTCAGTGAAGTCTCTGTCTTCTGCTGTGATGTTAATTCCGCCTTTTGCGTCTGCGTCGCGCTGCATGCACTTGGTGTAGTTGTGCAAAACCCTAATTAAGGGTTTAGGGTTTAGGGTTTGCAGCGCGCCCCGCAGCGGAAACGCCAACACCCGCACTTCCTCCATGCTGCAAACCCTAGAAAGTGCTGCAGCAGCTAAACCATCAGCAGCGCAGCAAACTGCTGCTGCGCTGCTTTGCTGCTGCTGCTGCAGCTCCTGCAGCAGCCGCTGCAGCGCCAAACGCATCCGCTGCTTGAAGTCCATGAACCTGCAAACCCTAAACCCTAAACCCTAAACCCTAAACCCTCGCGGCGACCCCAACCAAGCAGCTGCGGCCCGCACGCCCACACCGCCCGCCGGGCCCAGCAGCAAACCTCCCCCAAACCCTAAACCCTAAACCCTAAACCCTAGGAGCAGCCAACCGCGCCCCAGCCCCAAACCCCAAACCCCAAACCCTAAACCCTAAACCCTAAACCCTAAACCCTCACCGTTCGTCGAACTGGTACTGCATGAAGGGGATCTCAGTCCTGGCAGCAGTAGCAGAGTTGGCCTTGTCTGGCTTCTGCAGCAGCTGGTGCTGCTGCTGCTGCTGCTGCTGCTCCCTGAACTCTCTGCTGCCCCAAATGGCCAGCTGCAGCGCAGCAGCAGCAACAATCCGCGGAGTTGCTGCTGCTCGCAGCAGCGCAGCAGCAAACTGCTGCCTGCATTCTTCGTAGCTGCGGCAGCTTTCGAGCTGCTGCAGCACGCGGGCTTCTTCGTCTTCTGCTGCTGCTGCTGGTGCTGCTGCTGCTGCTGCTGCTGCTGCTGCTGTTTCCAGCGCCCCCGCGCCCTGCTGCTCCAGCTGCTGCTGCAGCAAAGTGAAGTACGCCAACTCACGCAAAGGGTCTGCTGAAACATCCTGCTGCAGCAGCTGCTGCTGCTGCTGCTGCTGCTGCTGCAGCTGCTGCTGCTGATGCAGCTGCTGCTGCTGATGCTGCTGTGCCCATGCTGCTCCGTTGTACCCGTGTGCTGCTGGATACGTCCCAGCAGCAGCAGCAGCAGCAGGACTAGCAGCAGCAGCAGCAGCAGCAGCAGCAGCAAACTTCCCCGGGGGGGGCGGCGGGGGAAGGCCTGTGACAGCAATAGTAGTTGCTGCTGCTGCTGCTGCTGCTGCTGCCAGGTGGTGCGGCGGCGGAGGAGGCGGGGGGATACCAGCAGCAGCAGCAGCAGCAGCAGCTGCTGCTGCTGCTGCTGCAGCAGCAGCAGCAGCAGGATGTGGGGCCGGGGGAGGAGTCAGAGCTGCTGCGGGCAGCTGAGGAGGAGGCGGAGGAGTTCTATTAAAAGCTGCAAAATTATTTTTATTTTTATTTTTATTTTTATTTTGTTTTTTGCTTCTACTCTCATTCCCTTTGCTGCCTGCTGCTGCTGCTGCTGCTGCTGCTGCTGCTGCTGCTGCTGTTGGTGCTGCTGGTTTTGCTGCTGTGGCTTCATCTGGAGCTTTTGCTCCTTCTGACGTTGCTGCTGCAGCTGGCGTGGCTGCTGCTGCTGCTGCTGCTGCTGGCGTGGTTTCTGCTGCTGCTGGCGAGGCTGCTGCTGCTGCTGCTGCCGAGGCTTCTGCTGCTGCTGGCGAGGCTGCTGCTGCTGCTTGAGAGGCTTCTGCTGCTGCTGCTGGCGAGGCTTCTGCTGCTGCTGGCGAGGCCTCTGCTGCTGTTGGCGAGGCTTCTGCTGCTGCTGCGGTGTTTGCTGCTGCTTCGGAGTTTGCTGCTGCTGTGCCTGTGGACTCCTCTGCTGTTGCTGCTGCTGCTGTGGCAGCCCCACTGTCCTCTCTGGCTGGTGCAGCAGCTGAATTCTCTGCTTCATTCTGCTGCTGCTGCTGCTGCTGCTGCTGCTGCTGCTGCTGCTGCTGGGGTGGCGCCCCTTCTTGGGCCTCCTTTTGCTCCTTTTCTGTCATTTTTGCTTCTCCTGGAATTAAAGATTTCTCAGTTGGACTTCTGAGGTGTACATACACTCGGAAACGCTAGCTTGAGGCGTCGCTCTTCCTGCTGCGCAGCAGCAGCAGCAGCAGCAGCAGCAGCAGCAGCAGCGGGAGGCGCGGAAGGCAGCGCGGCGGGATACGAAAAGATTAAAATAAAAAGAAAAAGTAAAAAGTTGAATTTAAATAAATAAATAAATAAATATAAAGTCTTTAGACTGACAAGAAAGCGTGGAGTGGCTGGAAGGCGTTGGGGCTGGCAATTGGGCGTTGTTGTTGCTGCATGCAATGTGTTGGTTTTCTTTGCGTTTTTTCCCAAAAGAGATTAAAAAAAGCGAATAAATTAAGTTAAATTAAATTAAATTAATTAAATTAAATTAAATTAAATCCAACGAGCAGTTTTGGCGGCGTTTCCGCCGCTTGCTTCTTTCCTGCGCGCGCCCTTCGGGTGTACGTACAGCTCCGCCACTCCCGCGCGCCACTTCTTTCCTTTTAATGCCTCACTTTTCTTTTTTCTTTTCGTTTTTCTTTTCTTTTCTTTTCCACTTCAAAAGAAAATAAAAATGCAAACAGGAAAAAGAGAATTCAAGTCCGAAGAAGACAAGGGGGGCCCCCAGGGGCCCCCCCCGAGGCGGCGCCGGGTCCAGTTTGCTGCTGAACCCGAGATCCACGAAGCCCCTGCAGCAGCAGCAGCAGACCCAGCAGCAGCAGCAGCAGCAGATCCAGCAGCAGCAGCAGCAGCAGATCCAGCAGCAGCAGCAGCAGCAGCAGCAGCAGCAGGCGATGATGAACCCTCCGTGGCGGAGCTTCTCGACGCGAAGTACACGAAGGCGGCAGTGCGCTTTGCCCTTCAGGGTTTAGGGTTTAGGGTTTAGGGTTTGCGTCGCAGTCTTCGCCCCCGAAAGAACTCAATCCCCGCTTGCTGCTGCTGCTGCTGCTGCTGCTGCTGCTGCTGCTGCTGCTGCTGCTGCTGCTGCTGCTGCTGCTGCATGATTCTGCTGCTGCTGCTGCTGCTGCTGCTGCTGCTGCTGCTGCTGCTGCTGCTGCTGCTGCTGCTGCTGCTGCCAGGTGGAAGGCATTCGGCGGCGAAAGAAGTTCCTGCAGGCTGGAGTCGAGGGTTTAGGGTTTGGCAGCAAGGGTTTAGACTTCGACGTGGA